CCTGAGTTTTTAGTCCTCGATGACAACATTGACGGAAACACCTTCAAGCACTCCGTCGACAACGCACCGATCGCAACGGTGCACAAATTATCGTATCTAATCAGCTGCCTGCGAGGCGCAACTGCACACGCCGTCTCTGGTTACGCACTCGAAGAAACTAACTATGAAGCAATAAAAGAAACCCTCTCACAACGGTTCGGTGATTCAAGCGCCTTGAGAAGAAAACTGCACCACGAACTGCAAGCCTTGAAGCCCACCGATCGATCCTCGTTCTGCTCAACCGTCAATTCGATTACTACAATCATTCGCCAACTCAAGGAGCTCGGTGATAATATCAACGAACCAATCCTAGAGACGCTCATTGAGGGCAAATTGCCTCAGTGGGCGTTACTAGAAATTTATAACGAAAAGCAACGGGTTCCTGAATGGAGCGTCGACCAACTCTGTTCGAAACTGCAAATAATGGTGAAAATCAGAGAACAAATAAAATGGTCTAATCCCGCTGAACGATCGAAACCTGCGCCCCAATTACTCAGTCAAATCAACAAACCAGAAGCAACGTCAGCGTTCGTAGTAGGTCAGCAAAAATTCAATCAAAATCGTCAGGCTGACAGCAACAACAGAAAGAAGAATGAACCCAATGCCTGCCCCTTCTGCAACGGTCGGCACTGGGCGAATCAATGCGAACGGTTCAAAAGTACGGAAAGTCGTACTAATCGCGCAAAGCAACTCCAGCTTTGCGTGCGATGTCTAAAGAGAGGCCATTTCTCAAAAGATTGTACAAACAAACGACCGTGTTATTACTGTCGCAGTTCTGGCCATCACCAAGCGTTGTGCAACAATGCACAGCCGCATCAACTCGTCGCAACAACGTTCACTCAGCAACAATTAACTATCGAACCAGCAGCTTACAATGACAGCTGCCTTCGATGCAATTAATCAAGGAGAAGTGGATGCGGCGCCGTATGAGGTGAATTCCGTATTATTCGGGTGATCGCGGCTCATGACACCTCTGGAAACGATCGATGTGGTCAGTTCGGATTCCGATACCGAACGCAACACACCACATCGCTCATCCGCACCAGCGGCAATACACATTCATAGTTTAGATTATCCCCTACAACTGAACTATTTGCATCTTACAGTTGAAAAGAAATTGTACAGTTCAAATGATTCCCCCCGACGGAANCTAAAAAATGCTTCCAACGGTTTAGCTCACAGTGTGAATGAATTAAAACCGACGAAATGAAATACTCTGACGATACATGCTTATTGTAATAATTATGTTGGTCTTCGATTTTTCAAACTGTTGTTATATTATTATTCCTTAACATCTTATGTGCATGAATGTTCATCGTTGTGAATCGCTTCATTTCGTCTTTCTTGAGTTAGTGAATAAAATGATCAAGAATATCAGCGTTATTAAAGTTGGATATCATTTTATAATTCATTTCGAAAGAGACAATTTGAACACCTTGTAGGATGTTCATTGAAAGTTATCAAAGAGGTGCCATAATTTGAATAGCTTCTAGAATGTTTGAGTACAAAGGAATGTTCAGTTGTACTGCATATATGACTGAGTTTCATGGTAGGTGATAACTGTTGAAGTAGTTCGACAAGTTAGCGGATGAATGTGACTTCATAATGCCGCACTTAAAGCAATTCATAAGTTGATTTGCTGTTATTTGTTCGCTTCAAATTTGAATCAGTTCAGTTCAAATTTCGTACCCTTAGCGAGGTCTTAGAGTGAACATCGGCCTATAACAAATGCAAAAGTAAATGTTTGGAATGGATTGAACGAAGCGTTCGCGTAGGTTCACGAATTGCGTGCGTGTGTGTTACATTAGTGTTGCTGGACGTGGTTCTCGTTATCATATTACCGGTAAGTGCTCCGTAAAGGTAGTTGTTCGGAGTGACCGATCTGCAAAAAAGGAAAGAACGGTATCGCCGTTGATTGTGACTGATCGTTTCAGTCTAACTGGTTACTTTATTTTGATGGCCGTTGGCACGGTATGTCTGCAGGCATAATATCAACAGACGCTATTCAGGACGCATTGCAACGCGCTAAAGAGGTGATATTTTTTATCTTTATTTATTTCATTTGTTACTACCAAATCTCACGTTTCTATTATTCTGAATGAAAAGAAATTGACAAATTGAGATCTAAAGAAGTTCGGATTTTATGCAACGTATCATTGACATCAACATATATTCATTTGTATAAATATGCTTGGCATGTACTTAACGGTCTTTTGATTGTTTTCATTACGGAACGGTATGATGAGCTGATTAGAGTTGTTTGATGGTCATATTTTGAACACAGCAAAACAGTTTAAGTCTGGAAGGAATTGTTTCATTGCCTCTGGTTTGATGATTCGAAATTCGCGATAATGCATTGATTGGCTTGATTTGCAAAGGAATCCCTCTTAATGCCTCTTCTCTGAAATAGATATCTTCGATGGTTCTCCGTTAACATACTGCAAATTTGTCCTAAAACACGTTCAACTCAAACATATCTGAAAATTTATTCCACAGCAATATAATGCTCCACAACAGTCGGTGTCCTCTCAGTGATTTCTCATTCCACTGTTTATCCCAAAATGAACTAAAAGTTATGAAATTTTTTCGATCAAGTTATGAAATGATTTGTCGAGGCGGAAGTGCCTCTTGATGTGTGTTCGGCCCAATTTCCTGATAGCTATTCCGTGACTTTTTTGATCAAAATTATAGTAATGAAGTATGAAATGTACGTGAATTGAATTGTTGAATTACGTGGCATCGTTGTGTTAATTCCATCGAAATTGCTCTGTTCGACTGCTTTGTTGATAGTGATGTGCATTTCAGCGATCATTCATAAACGTGGCTAGGAAATACATCGATTTTTTGATTCGTTTTGTGACGGTATTTAGAATTGTAGGTATTTTCTGCATTAGAATTGAGGCCTCGTTCAAAAGCGCGCAGACATGCGTTGATAGCGAAACANGTTCCCTTCAGAATACGAGATAGTTGTTCGCAGTATCTAGCATTATGAGTATTTTTCATAGTGAGCATAAGTCTCTTCCCACCATCCCGTCATTCTGTTCGTTTTTGGGGTGTGTATTAGTGCATATTCACTTTGTTCGTCGTCATAGTGTTCAAGTTTCGCATTCAGTAATCATCTCAGCCCTTGCGTTGATGGGAAATTGGCATTTTATTGTTAATGGTAGCGATACTCCATCTGATTGCCTCTTCTTGTTTATCAACGTTATAATTTATTTATTCATTGAATGCGCCATTTGCCTGTGCCATCTTTTAAAAAAGTGGTTTAATGATGGTATCATTTTGAGTGCGGTTTAGGTTTTTTAAGATATTTTAGTAAACAGGTGATTGTGGTATATAATTTTACTGGCGCGTTCCATTTTTAAGGTTCTCTGCTGTGATTGATCTTATGCGTAATTATCAAGTTTTGTTGTCATCATTGCATTAATATATCCCGTTATTATTGGTATTAAATGTGCCTGCAAGACCCATGAGTGCTGCTCTTCTGCATTCTTCGCACCAATCAGATGTTTAAAGTGAAATGATTAATCGATTGCCATAAGTGAAGCATATTGTTGACATACTTTGATGTCATGATTGAATGTCTAAACGAGAAACTGATGACTACAAAGATTTATCTTATGTTTTTAATTTTATAAGTGATTATTCCACAATCATGGGTTACCACATTGTGACATGTATAGTATGTATAAAGTAAATCATGCACATGCATATGAATATGATTACAAATGAATAAATGATGTTTGATTATAACTGATGAAAGGTAAACTGTTTTGATTAATAATTTTTCGTTCGTTTGTTTCATCTAATAATTTGATTTGAGGTACTTGATTGATTTTGCATTGATTGATTTGTGTCGTTATTTGGATATTGTTGTTTAGCTCGCTGCATCTTCACACACGAACGCACAAAAACGACCGATTTCGGAGGATTCTTCTAACTGTACGTGTCGATTGGTTGATTGATTTGTTGTATCATTTTAATGTTATTTTCATTATTTACAATTATATTTTATTATTACCATTTCATTTGCAAGGTACTAAATGTGGATCTCATTCAATACGGTTGTTTTGAATTGTGCTCAACAAGGTAGTCATACATACTATAATTTCTCCGTGGGCAATTTTCGTTAATGATATGCGTCCTTTCACCACATTGTGGTTTCATTTATGATTGAGTATGTCAACCAAGGCCAGTTGTTTTAACCAGTGTGCATTTACTGTGAAGTATTAAGAAAAATGACAGTACGTGTTACAAAATCTGTTACCTTTTCAGTTGAATTGTGCGCATGATTATATCGTGTATTTAAAGAAGTACGCGAAATTTTGTTTGAAATTTTCTAAAATCATTCTTTTTAGATGAATTATATCAGCATGTGTAGGGTAATGTGCATTCATGTTGGTATTCTTTCAGAACATTTAATAGGATGTGTAGTGAGTAATAGTTATATGTGAATAGCTGTATGATATGAACAGTCGTAGTTAAACAAACAGAATGAATGCATCTCATATCAGCAATCGTCAGTCGTATCTTCAAGAAAGATGAGAAAAAAGGGAGTGAGAGTTAGGGTAGGCGAGTGGCAGTGTAGTAACACGAGAATAGAATAAGGTTTGATCTATGTGTAGTTGATGCTGTATTGTATGACGTGCGTTAGTTATAGCACAGTCATATGAACACTGCTCTGTTGTGTGTTGCATAAAGTGGAGTAATGTATTAATAGGTGCACTCTGGCATTACTTACGTATACATACATACTTTATGTAACTGTGCGCGACGCATCACTGAGGCTACGCGGCGCGTTCATTACAACTTACATTGAAGCAGCGATGAGTGTGCGCTTTTATTTGCATATTCAGAAGTTATTCTTAACACTTGCTGGTATCCCTTTCACGTCATCATATATGGTCGTTATCAGTACATCGTTGTTGCCTTTTAAGTGATTCAATAAATTTTGATTGCCATATTCGACATATTTTGCATTTTTTCGTGGTTGTTTGGTATTAATAATTCTTATGAAGATCATTTGGGAGATCATTTTAATGATTATCTTTTTTGAATGCGTTTAAGTAGGTGTGAAATATTTACTTGACACGGACATGATGTTGTGCTTAGAATTCTTTTATTTACAAATATAATGCGTTGCACTCCTATTTATTACCGCTTATGAATATGAAGTAAACATGATCGTTATGTTGAAAATTTATCGATAATACCGGTTGTGACAGTTGATTGTGCGTATAATTTGATCTTAAGGTTGCAGTCGCTTATTACTGCCATCGTTTGTGACAATATTAAAAAGTTTTGTTGTTTGTTGGATGGTGAAATTATTTTTAAAGTGCATTGAACATTGATAGTGTAACATTTAAATGTGGTTGATAATTGAACGTGCTGATAGAATGATGGTCCATATAGTGTGCTATTACCCGAATGCAATCTCATTAATATACTGTTTATCATCAGTGTTGTATGAAGTATCATTGCGTAATGATATGATTTTAATAATTCACTTTCTATGAATTTGACTCATTTGTTTTGGCATTTAATGAACTATCGATAAAATTTAGTGTATCCGGCCAAGCGGGTCAATACCGTCGGAGGGAACAGTATGGACATGGCTGGAAGCATGCAGATCTCGACACTTGGTGCACCGGGCCATATCGGGGGGATTAGTGGCAATTCATTGCCTTCGGTTGGAGGAGGAGGAGACGTCTTAATTGAGACGATCGAAGTGCCAGATCATTGTGTTGGTTTGGGTAAGTTGTTTTCTTTATTGTTTTTTTTGTTACTTATAATCTAAGGAAGTCGTATTTGCTGAGCATTGATTTGAGAGTTGGTATTACGAGTAACTTCATCATTGCATATTCTGTTTACATGTGTTTTTAAAACGTGCAAAAAAGATGCAGCAACGTCCGTTCGACAACATGTAGTGAATTTATGTGATTGTAATGGTGTGACCAACTATTTAGTCGTGTTGATTCTGCACTTTCTATTCATTTGTTCATTTTTCTGCTCTGTTACATTCTATCCATTTTTGATTCATTCATTAATTTGACACCACTCCGTCTACATGGCATGCAGCGAATTTGATCAACTGAAATTTTGTTATATGTCATTTGGTCTTTAATTTGTCGTCTGATAAAACTCTTTTTCTGTAATTTGTATATGCCGTCATGTGGGTATACAAAGTGATTTTAGTATTCCTTACTCTCCTCCGCCATCATCTTTTTCCCTCTTACCCTTTAAGTGAGGGAGGGGTAATTACGAATTACGCTCTTCCAGTTGGATAAGGCGTTGTTGCGGTATGTGTGTCGAGATTTGCAAACTCATTTATTAATATTTAATAGGTTCAGATATTGCTTCATCTTTATTGGTACTTAAATGTGACGATGAGTGCTTGAATCTCTAAAAAGCTATAGTATGGAGAACAGGTTGAGATTCTAAGTCGTAACTGTTGTGTTTGTACGTACGGAAGTAATAGTTCAAACCTGCGATAAATCAGTAGTGTTGATGCTATTGGATGCGCAAAGAAAGATGTTGTAGAAAGGTGATTAATGAGTCCACCGATTAAATTAAACCAATAAACAGTTTCAGTGATAGGTCGCGGCGGTGAGCAGATCTCACAGATTCAGTCGCAATCAAACTGTCGTGTGCAGATGTCTCCCGAATCTGATCCGAACAACATGCGTCAGTGCACTCTTCAGGGTACAAAAATTGCTGTTGAACGTGCAAAATCGATGATTCAAGAGGTTTGTTGGTTTTTTTTTTGTGAGTTTGAATACGGATATTGTGATGGCGAAATTAGCAATCATAAAGATAATGATTGAGCGTTCTATCCGATAACATTGGCTTTTTAATTAATGGTTTTGTATTGATTGATCATGTGTGCGACATCATATTAATCTAATTGAAGTCACAAGGTGTATTGGAAAGGGAATGGGATGAGAGCATTGAAGATGATCGCGATTTGTTGCAGGTGATTGCACGAGCTGGGAATCGTCCACCACCGAGTAGAGGAGCTGCTCATTTCGACGGTGGAATGGCGAACGCAGGTGGACGACAGATCACTCACGAGATGCTCATTCCAGGTGTAAAATGTGGTCTCGTGATTGGTAAAGGAGGTGAAACCATCAAAAACATCCAGGTATGTTTCGAAGTTTAGCCATAAAGAGTAGTAACAGTTGAAGTGTACGAAAATTACTGGTATTTTATTGTGCATGCAAGCGTATTGTGATGGATGTGTGATAGTGGTGTTTCGAATGAATACGTTAGTTTAAGAATGTGAGTGTTTAAGGAGCAAGCAGGTGTTAAAATGGTAATGATACAAGATACACAAGAAAGCAGTGGTCAACCGAAGCCGTTGCGCATAATCGGGGATCCAGATAAGGTAGAAAATGCACGTCGCATGGTCGAAGATATCTTGCAATCGAGAGAGGATCATCCACCGGGCGGAGGGCAACGATTCGGTGGTAACGCATTTCCGGGTGGAATTGGCGGTATGGCCGGTGGAGGCGGAATTGGTGCGGGAGGTGGACAGAGATCTATTGGCGAGGTTAATTCGTTTATTTCATTTTGTGGGGAAATAAGATCTTATTGATTTGGATCATTTTCGTTGACGGGAGGCATAGGTTGAATGCGACTTCATTTTGATATTAACTGATTGTGAGTGAAGATCTAATAGCTTCGCGGTGTGAGATTAGCGAGGTTGAATTTATGTATTTGATTTAAGGTGATTGTACCGCGTGCTTCTGTTGGTATGATTATTGGCAAGGGAGGTGAGACCATCAAACGTCTCGCTGCTGAGTCGGGTGCTAAAATCCAGTTCAAGCCTGATGGTGAGCACTTCTGGATTTATATTTAGCAGTTGAATATTAATGTGTGAATAAAGGCGGTAATAGTTTCTTCCGAGATAAAATTGATTGGATTTCATTGTACATCTCAGTGGAAACGGTCGTCGTTATTTCAGAAGACCAAACGACACCGGATCGCTGCGCCGTAATTCAAGGTACAACTGATCAAATCGCGAAGGCAACTCAATTCATTTCTGAATTGGTTAATAAGAGTGGAGCGGGTGTTGGCGCTGAAATATTTTATATGCATGTACCGGCGAATAAGACTGGTCTTGTCATTGGCAAAGGAGGTGAAACCATTAAACAGGTGAGCACCTGAGATCATTAATCGAATCGGCTTATCTTCATTAAGAGCATTAATCTCGATTAGTACGGAATATAATTTTTCAAATTCATTTTCGTCGAGTAATGCAATGAATGTAAGCGAATGTCTTATTCAGATCTGTGCCGAGAGTTGTGCTCACGTGGAATTGTCTCGTGAACCACCTCCAAATTCATCTGAAAAGGTTTTCATCATCAAAGGAACACCGTACCAAATCCATCACGCACAGCATATTATCCGCATTAAGGTTTGTTAGTCATTTTTTATAATTAACATAGAGTGTGACTGGTACTGAATTCGTGGAGAAACGCCAGATGAATCTTCAGATTGTAAGTTACCGTTCACTGATTCGTTGTGTTGTAGGTTGGTGATGTATCACCCGGAACCCCGGTACCGCAGTTCCATGGGCAAGGTGGTCCAGGTGCTGCAGGTGATGGATATAGCGTTGGTCACAATGCCGGACCCGCAGGTGGTCCTCAGGGATATGGCAATGGAACAAGTCATTTCGGGGGTGCGGTTGGTGGTCAATCGACTGCACAGTGGAACGCCGGTTTCGGTAATTATTGATCAGTTGGCCTGTTTTGTGGTGTTGTTTCCTTTGCTTCTGTTGATAGAGCAGGATTCAGTTTCGTTGCTTAGGTAAATGAATTGAAGTGAAATAAGCAACGTCATGTTTAAGGGCATCAGCAGAATGATCCAGGACAAGCAGCATGGGCACAGCAATATTACGGTCAACAAGGACAACAACAAACCGGTTATCAACCGGGTGGATACGCCACTCAATATCAGCAGCCGGGTGCACAACCGCAACCTCAGCCAGCACAGACAAGCACTGCTCCAGCGGTTAATCCACAAACTGGTTAGTATTAATTCGATGGCGGAGTAGAAGAACGGTGAATTTTGCAGAAGCGAAATGAACATTTTGTAGATTAGTATTGTAAACGACTGTATTTAAAAATGCTGTGATTAAAGCTATTTCAGGACAACCCGACTATAGTGCGCAATGGGCCGAGTATTATAGGAGTATGGGAATGCATGAGCAAGCAGCGCTGATCGAGAATCAACTCAAGCAAAACGCTGCAGCAGCTGCAGTGGCACAACAGCCGAGTGCGCAAGCCGCAAGACCGCAACAGCCTGTTAGTTATATTTATCGTTGAATTGGCACCACACACCCTTGCATCTTCATCAGATGTTGATGTTTTACTATCACTGTTGTATTATGTTGCATTTGTTTAATGTCTCTGTTATCATTACATCTTTATCATCTTTTCTCTGCTCTATAACTATTCTTTATACATAGGATAGGGACACCTCAAAACTTGATTCACTCTTTCTTCGGTTTAGAATCGGAGGGAAGTGTTCTGTTTCCTTGTTAGGTTAATTTGATAGTGAAAAGATGATAAACGAAATGAATCTCGGAGAGTGTTCTTGAAATAAGTAGCAAATGAAATGTTTAGGCATACGGTGCATATGGAGCCCAACCCGTCTCGGCAAGTGCGCAGAATCAATTCGGCTATGGTGCACCGCAAGCGCAACCACAGGGTGGTTATCAATATCCACAACAATATTAATACTGAGAACAAACAGGCGACAGAATATTAATAAATAAACCATTTAGCATCCCTCTTTCCAACAGCATCGTTCCTTTTGATGTTTAATATTGGCATCGCGTTATAACACACGGCATGACATCGTACCTCGCGTTTCATAATCCCTACCATTGTATTTCATTTTTCGTTTTTAGTTAGCGTCATATCTCATTTCGTCCGTTCATCAATCTTGTTGTCCGTATTCAGCGTTGATTTTTTGTCGTCCTATTAAATTATTCATTGTTTCATCTTTGATTTCATTTCATCCTTCTTTTCATTATACTTTATTCAGATGTCGTTCTTTTTTCGAATATGGAACAGATCTCGAAGGTTTTACAAAACATATTTTTGGATATATGAATATATTATTCTGTTACTGTTCACTACTACATGAGTTGATTAATATGCTTTGATTATATGTTCGATTTGCGGTTGCTCTTATGATGATTGATTGTTGTTATGATTGCGATTTTCGGTTATGATCTGATATTTTCCGGATTGGCTTTTAGCTGTTGATGGTGAGTGATATGGCTTGTGCTGTGTACTTGATGATTAGATGATGAATATTTTTATTTTTTTATTATTATTGCTCGAATTTCTTATCTTTGTTTAGAGTTTATACATTCCCTTGATAGATCTATATATATGCTTTTATATGTATGTACATCACTAGAACATGTACCTCCACATATGCATCTTTATATTTTGTAGGTAAATTGTTTAGGAAGTTTGAAGTAGCGACTTATTGAATGACCAATAATGAAATGGTTTTTAAGCGCTCAAGCCGTCTCAAGTTGATGATAATCTGTTACCGTTTGCACACTGCCCTGTGTTATAATAGTTAAATGACGAAGAATAGAGAATATTGTTGTAGAACGTGTGTTAATATTATCATGTGAAGTTTTTGTGTTCGATTCATTGTTACGTTACGAGTGAACTGCTCATTGCATCTGTTACGTTGTTCGATTTGCTCAGCTCGATTGACGGGCGATGTGTTTGGTTTAGCTTAGTACTTGAAAACGATTATGCGTTCGTCTTGGATCATCGACGAGCGCTTGTAGATTTTTTTGAGGTTTGAGACGAAAGTGAACTGNTGTTGTAAGTCGTAGCTGATAGGGTAGTGATATTCATTCATTTCTCAACTTTGTTATCTATAGCTTGAGTGAGTGGTACGGTTGAAGTTCAGTTCGCAGAAGAGAGTTTCATTTATTTGGCTGCTGCTAAATCATGCTACCAAAATGAATAATCAGGTTTAGGCTCTAAAGTTGTTGGAGACGCTCACTCTGATCACATTCCTGATGACGCTTACGTAACTCTGAGATGATGAACAAAAAATTGTGAGTTTTGGTAAAATGAATTCATTAGGATACTAATATTATCAACAATAATGGTAGTGTTGAATAATGATAACACAAATGATCGTGTGATGTTGTTGTCATTGTTTGAGTGGAATGGTTGTTCTTGAGATTCGAGACGTTGTTATTGTTGTGACTTATCTAAATTGTTGTTTGCATTCTTTATTTTTGAGTTGAATTGAATTGAATATCAGAGTTATGATCACGTTCTACGGGTGCCCAGTGCTGTTTCTCGCTGCTCTATATTGCTGATTGTGCTGTTCCGGTTTGATGTGTAGATTGATTGTTTGTTTGATTGTTAATGAAATAAGTGCATACCGCCAATCATTCTAATGATAATAATTTCAATTGTCCTTGCATGTTGATTATGATTTTATCATTTTTGATTTTGATTTGACTCATATTGAATTTAATTTGCTTTGAATTAATTCTTCCATCAGTAATGGAGTTATAATTTATTGTCTTCACATTCATTACCTTACCTAATAAATGCGTTTATTCATTGATTTATGTTCTTTTCGTTCGTTTTTCTTTGATATACGCGTCTTTTCCTCCTGTATTTCCACAATTTGACTCATAGAATTTGATTGTCTCCATAATTGTTGATTGCTGTTATGTGAGAGTATAAGTTTATTGATGAAGCGCGAGGTACGTTGTCAGTTGAGTTGTTGTTATAATGACGATCAGGATGCTTGTTGAATTATATCTTTATTTTGTAATATCTTCATTTCATTGAATAATCAGTTAATCGTATTGTTGTGTAGATGTTGTTCTTATGCATTAGCACACTTCATAATGCACTACTCATTTGTTGCGATCTTCTGTTTTGTGTTCGTTTGTGTGCATATGTCATTACCATATAAGCACTTTGTTGTTGTTCTTCATTTTAACAGTTCTTCATTTATTTGCGCTATTCTTTTCACTATAATTAATCATTTCGTATCGAATGTATTGTCGTTTCGTTGTTTAGTTATGGTTTTGCATTGTTCAGTATTCATCGTATGGTTATTACTGTTATGATTATCGTTTTAATCGACCGTTTTTATTGCGTGGTTTTGTATTCGTTTGGCTGTTTCGTTGCATCTTAATATATATCCTCCAATCATATTCTGTTGGTTATCGTTTCTTGTTTTTTGTTACGCTCGTTATTATATTTTATTTGATTATTGGATGATCGCTTTGAAATTGAAGCTGTTTGTGCGGTATGAGTAAATAAATAACTTCTATCGTTTATCCATCGTTTACATCGCATTTTTTGCACTTACAACCTAGAAGTTTTGAATGTCGAAGGCAACTCAGAGTAATTGTTTATAGCCGTTACAAATTCCAAATTCTTGAAAGATGACACTATTACCTGTTTGGAAATAAATTTGGCATGCGGAGAATTCTGCCAGGAACTTGTATATACGTGAGTGGAAACGTTGTGAGAAAGGGGATGATTATTTGATTGTGGACAACATCCAAAATGAAGCAGCTGTCAACGTGTGCCTAACTTTTAAGTCCCTCATCGAAGTGATATGATGTTCCGTCAGTGTCGAAATTTTTGTGCATTTGCTTGGCGCAATGCTCTGAAACAATAAGGCCGAACATTACAGCCATGGTTTGTTTCATTATGATAATGTGCATTTACCCATCAAGAGTCAAAACTAGAGCTCTAATAATTCTTATAGCAAGTTCGTTCATTCTAATCATATCAAATCATAACAACTACCATAAAATCATTAGTGTAATAATCAGCATTCATCCTTATTTTACGAATGGAAAGTGCAATTTTTTGTTCAATTTAATCTTCAATCTTTTTAATCAATCTTTTTATTTATGCTTGCGTCCGTCATGGACAATTCTAACAGTGAAGGTGAATTTAATGCAACTGCATATTCGTATTCTTGACAGTTGAGATGAACACTCACAGCAGAATTCAGTTACGAAATTGCATTTATAATTCATACAAATTTGCATTATCTAAAGTTACACTGTTTCCTAATGAAACATGAATTGAAATTATTTTATTGATTTCACCATTCTAAACCATTTTTCTCACAATCGGCTATTGACATATTTGACATTTGTTTACGTGCCGAACGGTTGGAGGTTGCTAGTTTAGGTTATTTTCGATTAATCTTCTTCAACTATTTAACGTTGATTGGATATTTGAGAAAAGTCGTAAAAGTTGCCATTAAGTTTTCGTAGAGGTCGAGGAAAATTTGTTATTCGTTGAACTGTTTATGTTCGGAATGCATTTCTGGCAGATTTCATAAGTAGCAATATTATTTTCATGGTCATTAGTCGCCTTTCTGCTCAAAATACTTTCTGCATCATTTATTCACGAAAGATTGCTGATTTGTTGACTTTCTCAAAAGAAACTTTCATTTTAATTGAACTCAGTTAATAATATTGCAATAATAATGTGAAGTTGGTTTACTCAGACAGAGTGGCCATGGTAGTGATTGAAAATGCGACAGGTGTAGAATTTTGAGATTCTTTATATTTGTTAAAATGTATTGATAATAATTATGAACAAATGATTACAAACATCTGATTTCCCTATCACAACAGCTGTGTTAGTTTGATGCAGCTGNTGAACACACAATGTGCTTACTAGTTCGAAGTGCTGCTACAGGGAAACGAAAAGAACTATGTTGTCAATATCGATGGCAATTTGGATTTCGTCATGAATGCATGTGATCATACGTCCACCTTTTCGAGAGAACGGGATGCTCACATTCAGAAAGTTACATTTTCTGGCTGCAGTAGGACGAAGAACATTTCACAAGTCTCACTATTGACTAGTTTAAAATGACATCACAAAAGAATTTCAGTTGTTCTGATGAGGCACGGCGATGTAACGAATAACTATCAAATAGGTAACAATATTCCATGAATGGCAGTGGCATTGCACTGCAGGGCGTTGATAAATTTTCTGCAACAGTCGACGGAAATGTTCTGCCGTCCACAACGGCATATCAGACGAATTCAACCAAAATTTTTAAATGATCTGTTGGGTTCTGCAATCCGCCAGTTATTGATGCATCACAGATCGGTATCTTGCGGATGCATAGAATTCCTCTCATTTTGTTCCCTCCAAACCATCGTTAAGAAATAGCATATGACAAAGTTTCTGGGTGATTTTGGTTTCTGTGGTTATACTCCCCGAAAAACTCTTACATGTACAAAAACAATGCTAAAAGCTGTGGTATAAATTTTCGAGGCTTCATATGAACAGAACAATCGAAGCATGGACTAGGGTGGCATCCATTGGTCAAATCAAAATTGTGGTATGTAATTCAATTATGAGAGAATGCTCGTTGAGGAACTGGTGAAAATTTCTATTGTGAGTTAAACACAGAAATATCAAAGTTGAATGTAATGAGTAATGTCTTGGACAGCCTCAGCAATTAATGGTATCACGCCACTTTATTAAGCATTCCATGCAGTATTTGTGAAAGGCTCCTCTATAAATTCATCTGTTAGTTGGGTACCGGTCGTTTCATATTCCAAGAAAACAGTGATCCCAAGCATATGAGCAATATTACATGAAACTAATTCAGAGAGGGAGTTATACAAAAAATGGACTATCTTGTCAAAAATCCTGACCTAAACCCCACGAATATCAGAAGGAAGGATGCAATTGATTGAAAAGACCAATAAAGTACCAAAAAATTGGGATAAATAGATGTAATACACTATGACGGCTTGGCAGAATATTTCAGTCGACCGTTTCTCAAAGTCTTCTTTATACATACCTCTCAGAGGCATTACTGTGATTCACTCAAGTGAAAATTTCGCTGCCCGTCGGAAATTCCCCGACGATGCTTTCTGACCAATGCTTTCTGATCAATTCTCCGATGATGTTCGGAATGATCAACAGCAAGTCTTTCAAAGTGCCCGTCATACTGCCGCCAAAAAATGAGACCCTCTGAGTGTGAAAATCTTGCCTTCTTGGAGCAGGTGGATGTATAGTAATTTGAGTTAAATGGTGAATAAATAAGTCAAGGTCGGTTTGTTTACCATCGAAACTGTCAGCACAGCCCTTTTCGTTTTTGTAAGCCATCACTCTGAATTATTTAAGCGCAATTTTTCTTTACAATCAGTTGGATGACCACAGTTGGATGTACCAAGGCGTAGATATTTTTAAAAATTGCTTTTATAGACATAAAATATGCAAAAAATCTAATTGACACTGCTTCTTCATCCTATCAATTCAATTGGTAGCATTTTTACGTATTACTTGTATTTATTAGTATAACGAGTAAACTTTTCAAATTTATTTAGACGTTTTGTCTACTAACTGGGCAGTCGGTTCCTTTTTTAGTAGGTTAAAATTTTAACATTCAGGCTTTTTGAATTTGATACTGAAGGTCAGTTCATTAATCTGCAAAAGTGGCAAAGACAAACAACAGTGGAAGTGAAATTATAATCGTTTATCTGACTCAAAAGAAAGGTTGCTGAGTAAGAAACAAGTTGAAATTCTTCAGTTGAAGAGTAGAACAGGTTGCGAATAATTGGAGAGATGGCTGCTGAAAAAATAGAGGTTGATGAGATGATTTGCAAATTGCTGAATGTTGGAAGTCCTGGATGTAGTCTTACAAAAACAATCAAAGAACAAGACATCATGAATCTATGCACTGCCGCTAAAGAGGTAATTTATTGTAAAGGAAAGAACCTTTTTTTTTCAAAAATAGTCATGATATCCCAGAAATGTAACACTCATCAATGTGTTACCCTATGACAAATGATTTTTTTGAACTTGATTTTTCTGCTTTTCATTGCAGTACACTTATTCAACGACTGTTTGTGAAGCATGCAAAATAAGTGATTGCTTCGTCTCAAGTTTTTTTTCAGTTAATAAGGGCATCTTAGAAGAACGGTTATTTAGTGATTAACAGATAGAAACTCAAAACTCAAAGTATGAACAGTATTCACTAGAAATATCAAATTTCTATTACGATTAGGGAACAAGTTGAGATTAAGTTATGAGATTTCAGATTTTACTCTCACAAAACTCGCTAATTGAGGTAGATCCACCAATTCGAATTTGCGGCGATATTCACGGCCAATACGCAGGTGACGCTCTTGAACATCAGGATATACTCTTTGATGACTCATTAGTTCCTACGTTCATCGGTTAGCAGGAATGATCGTTCGTCGAAAGGAGAGTTAGTTGTTCATCGAAAAGTCGTCCAAAGTCGTCAAAAAAAAGATCGTTCATCGTAAAAAAAGAAAGTCCGGAAAGATCAATTAAAAACGTTAACTCTCCGAAATAATAGCTGGAAGTCGACATAAATTTGAACGTTTTTGTAATTTTCATTTTTTTAGAACAAAAGAAAAAGAAATATAGGAATAATATTTTAGATTTACTTCGATTATTCGATCGTGGCGGCTTCCCTCCATTCGTGAATTATCTGTTCCTCGGTGATTATGTTGACCGTGGTAAACAAAGTCTGGAATGCATTTGCCTTCTTCTCTGCTATAAAGTCACTTTTGAATTAATTCACATGTTTATTCTTCAAACTTGACATAATTCGTAATTGTATTGGTTTGTGGCAAGTATAAAAGCATTAAAAGCAATTGAGATATTATCTAGAAATGGTATCAGTTGCTCTACATATTTGAAACTAAATGATATTTAGAAATGTTTGATGATTACAGGTGAAATATTCGGAAAATTTTTTTATATTGCGTGGTAATCATGAATGTAGTGTGATTAATAGAGTCTACGGATTCTTTGAGGAATGTTCACGTCGTTATCAAAGCGTTCGACTTTGGCAAGCGTTTCAGGTTCGTTATCAGTCTTTTTCAGTGGTCATTAATGGAAGGATATTTATGATGATCTCTGTGGAGCAAAATAAATGATGTTATCAGGTTCGCGGAGAACGCACCAATTATCTCATGGATTAGATGAATATTGGTCAGTTGTATTAGGCATATTCAATGACAATGATTGAAACTTTAAGGAAGTATTCAATACAATGCCATTTACTGGTTTAGTTGCTGGTAAAATTCTATGTATGCACGGTGGTTTGTCACCGCAACTTAAAAGTATTGATCAATTAAGACAGATCACACGTCCTATCGATCCACCAAATCCTTCACTTCATATTGATCTCGTTTGGTTCGCTTTCTGTATTTACTTCGATGTTCTCTATTTACTTTTTTTAGTTCGACAGCAATTTTATATGTCTTCATCAGTCATGTTACCACCAATTCGTTCAGCATTAGCGATAAAATATTAGATGGTGATTAATAGGGATTAGTAAAAGAGATCCATATTGAATTTATGTCAAAAGAGCTCGAAAAAAANTTTCATATTCATTTAATTGTTGAATGCAATTGTTAACTTTCTATCGAAAGGAATTCATAGAAGCACAAATGAAAACGATGCAAAGCTAAACGTATGTCAGTTTAGTCTCTGGCAATGTTAAAAAAGCGAATTTTAAGGATGGATATGAATTCTTCGCAAATCGTAAACTTGTAACAATATTCTCTGCACCTCATTATTGCGGTCAATTTGACAATGCAGCTGCAATGATGAATGTCGATGATTCACTCGTATGCACTTTTCAGGCTCGTTTCAGCTACTTATTTAATTCCTGAATCACTTATTTATAATCTAAAATTTTTGAACATTCAGCCTCATTACTCACTAATTGCTGTAACTTACACACCAGAAAGGCAATGATGGAGTGATGTAGCGTGAAGTGTGAAGGAGTGATAATCCGATAAACGAAATATAAGCAAAATAAACGAACTTTTTTACTTTAAGAGCACTTCAAGAAGTCTTTGAACGAATGTTTGTTCAAATTTATGACATTAATGATTTTTGATTCCCCTTTATTAGGCTTAATAAAACCATTTTAGAGCATAATAAACGAATCGAATCGTCGATTTCAGATCTTACGTCCATCCGTCAAAAAAGGCAAACCAAATGCTGCGACAAAGTAATGCGATAACAAGAAGCATATCGAATAACGCCTAATGTTTTTTAGGAGAAAAATTTCATGAATCTAATTTATAACATTTGTGAGTGTAATAAATCAATTCAAACTGTTTGCAAACAATCACAATTCTCTTCTAAACCAATTTTTTTTCAATTCCATTCTCTCATAATTTATTCATTTTTATATTTGTTTCGCAAATCAGTGTATATTTCGCATATAAGCCTCTTCAAGATCATCACTCCATAGTCTGTTCTTCTCCATGTTTAACGGGTCTTTTTGCATAAATGTTCTCACAAGCTCATTCTCAATTCTAGTCCATCACTCTAGGCAACTTTTGTCCCATCGCAGTTGTCCATTAGCCTTATTTTCCACCCTCACCTAATTTTCCTTTCTATCGCGCAGCTAACAAAGCCCTTAACCTTCGTTGCTCCTTTCAGCCATTTATTTGAGTTGCTATCCAAGAATTACCATCGTTTTATTGTTCGTATTTCTGTTTTATAGTATTATTGTTTTGTACCTGTTTAATTTTAGTTTTGACCATTTTCTTGTTGTTTAATTTGTATTTTTTCTTCATTGGGTATTTCGATATCAATATTTGTTGAAGTAATCTATTATTANTATTATTATTATTATTATTATTATTATTAATATTATTAATATTACTATTAGTAGTAGTAGCAGCAGTAATACTATGGCGTGATACAAACGACTGCGATAAAATGACAAAATCATGTCATGTCCTTAACGGGTAAAACTTAAGTACTGGTTGAGTACATTTGTTTATTGACTAAACAATGTATTTTCACGAAGAATCATTAGTAACCACATAGGTCTCGTTAATTTTAACACTAATATCCGGACACAGTTGAAAATAAGTTACATAGCTGCAATTTTATTAGCACCGCTTTTAGTGGTTTTATACGCTTTCTCATAGTGTGACGCGAGTAAATCCATCAGTTCTTTTGCTTCATTCACCGTTTTTTCACAGTGAGATTGTATGGTCTTCAAGTCCTCTTCTACAACTGCTAGTTGATTGTTATATTCCTGTTCAGCTTCGGCACTCTTCGACGCACGTTCTTGATCGTTCGGATGACTGAATTATTTTCGATTTCATTACTACATTTCGAAAATTTCAAATTCATTCCAGCACTTCGAACCTCAATTTACAAGTGTATTACAGACTCTCTTTCAGTATATCTTGATGCATAGTAGTGAAAATGAATTTTCACGGAAAACGTTTTCATCGATGGCGTGATGAAGTGATTTATTGGTTATCGAGCAAGTAATAACAATGAACATAAAAATACTTGTTGGCTGATGTTGCACACGCATCTTTCTCTAATCGACGTTTTTTCAGTTCACTTATATCATCTAACTGCTTAGCAACACCATTCTTTAGCCAGTCTTTCGCGAATCCATTCACGAATTGATTTAATGACTTCAACACATTAATTATTTAGGCGCCGCAAAAATGATATGCGTGTTTTGTGATACCTCGACATTTGATGCGCTTTGTTCTTTGTTTTGATATCATAACGTAGCGAGCTAGCAATTTTACAGTATGACTGGAAGTAGGAGGAGGGACTGAGAAGCGGAATTTCATTTGACACGTTGACTAAACATATGATTCTATGTGAAATTTTGTTATTAAGTACTTTACTGACGATGAAAGGATATCAACCGACAGCGAAAGTCACCTACATCATCATACGATTTGCGTTCAACACGACCCAACTCTGCAAACGTCGAATTTGCCTCTTTCATCGCACCACCGAACTAGAACATTTCATTTCATGACGAATGAATCTTATTTTTTGTTAAAACTCATTCAATATTTTGTGTTATTCATTCAACAGTTGCAACAACTGAAGCATCCGTAGCAATATAACTGATATATGAATCTACTGAGGTAGGGATTTCTTAAATATCATTTGACAGTGTTAGATAATCGCCAAATTAATAATCTCTTCGTAGAGACGGGCAATTTCCTGCACGGATGCCGTTAATTGTATGGAAAGGAGGCTGCCGATGGAAGGATATATTACTGGTGATAACAGATAAGCATAAACTCAAAAGTGCTGATTAAATAAATGAATATAAGATTTGTCGAACGATAAACCGATGGTTTGGTTGATTTTGCACCGAGCTGATTACATTCTTCACCGACTGTTTCGTGCGGACTTAGACCACGACCACTGAACGACGCAACCATTGACTGCACTGATTTTAGGATATTGTTCACATCCTTTTTGCTTGCTTCACAAAACGATATCCCTTTATCGACTTCTGGTGGGAATCTTAATGAATATTCATTTCTATTGGAATATTTTCAGTACTATTGACTAGCTAATCAAATTGCGCTGAATAATATCTGAAAAATGGATTGTTTCCAGACAAAACATGGATTACGCAAATATTGAACAGTGGTTAAAAATGAAGACTGAATATAAACATCAAGAAGGCTGAATAAGTTGTAGGGCGTTCTGTCAGCACGGTGCTCACAGATGCTATCGTCTTATCATGCCTACAGAAGCTCGGAACTCAGAAACAATGCTTTCTAAAAAGACGAGCACCAACGCGGTCTGCGATGCACGACCAGTTTTAACCATAATATTCTGCTTCAAACGTCTGAACATCATTTTCACCGATAAATCGTTAGAAAAACTGCCGACAAAGTCTTAAAGAGCAGTTGACCACTCAGTGTGAAGTTAACAAATGAAACAACTCCGTGTCATTTACTCACTTTAATAATAACAACATCGCAATGAATCTACATCTAAGCAAATGAATTTCCTTATTAAATTTGCACTACTGAAATTCAAAAATGTTTCTTATTCGAATAAACTCAATTGAATGAAATTGGAAGCGACGATTCATTTGAAATGACTAAAGATAAATAAAGTGGAATCAATCCGTAGAATCTGTTATACTTATTTGTGCTATATTAATGCACTTCTTCATCTGATAATTCCATGAATTCGTGATGAAAGAATCGTTCTCCAACAGAATTCGATAGTGAATGTTATTCAGAGAATGTTTCATGCTGCATCTGATACAGATGATGGTATCAGAATTAAAATACTTTAAACAGTAACGACGTATTCGTACATCCCACATCAATCAATTGAATCACCCATTAATCTAAGCTACTGATTGAGATAGGATCACATCATGTTCGAGTCTAATATCTCGTGGATACACACGCATGCATTAAGATCTACTTGTTACCGCTCGCAGAAAGTTGACATCAGAGAGATAACCTTCATGGGAGATGGATTCATTCTAAAATGTCTGATAATAAAAAATTTTGACTGCTCGATATGACTTTAAAAGAGAATGGACCGAGATGTACACCAATGACAACGATTAAACTTTAAACAACTTCACAAAACTCGACGTAAAACAAAATAAGGAAGAGATGAACCATCTGAACAGTTAAAAATCTCACAATCTCACTGAACAGTTAAAAATATGAATGTATCAATGAAAAATGAAAATAAGTTCCAGCGAATTAAAATCGCAATAAATTTTAAACACTGAAATTGCTTAAGCTGAAGGATTCAGCTGATACATATCAAATTTCGAAGGTATTGCAATGAAACGCTGAGCTGATTCAACTGATATAAATGAAAATTAAAGGTGAGATGAGTCGAATGAAAACAAAGTTAAGATTGGTTGAATGAATTAGACAATTCGATTTGACATTCAGTGACAAAATAAATAAGTCAAAAAGTTATCGATATGATTGTATTGTTGGGAAAACGAAATTGGCGTAATTTGCGGATGGAGAGATTCGTTATAAATGATTAAAAGTAATATTATTTGTTAATATTACACAACTTTACAAATATCACATCTGAAATGAATAACTTAATGAATAACTGATAAAACAAAATAAGTTCAAAGACGAGGAGATAATAACAGAAAAGATCTTGAGGATTCCGTCTTATACATGCACAATAACAGTGTGAATTACTGACAGTTGAGGAAGTTTATAATATTTGGTATATATGCAAAGTGTGCGTTAGAATGACTTGCAGTGCGAGGATCAGCATCAGAGTCGCGTTTCTGACTCTTTTCTATTCAATATCAAAGACACAACGATGAATTACTTTTCAAACCCTTCATAAATTCACATCAACAAAAATCGTAACTTCAAAAGGAGTAACTGCTGTAAACATCAACAAAGAGAAATGTATTCGAAAAAAGAAAGTGGATGCAATTATGAAAGTTTTATCATTCATTCACAAAGAACTAACTAGAAAGCAACACAAAACTGTAAAAAAATAATGCAAACAAGCAGATATTCATGCCATCATATGAATGCAAACATTAAACACAACGCAACAATTCATCATGAAATATGCCAAAAATACAGAAAATCAATGAGAAATATCAAAAAAAGAGAAAATCAACTGGGAAATCGCTCCTCTTTAGCAAACACAACTGTTTGCGCAATCATGTTGTCAACAAAAAGCAACGCAATGACATCATATACTAAATATACACAGCGACAATCACTCATCAGTATTCACTGCAATTATAACGATTAAATGCAAAAATTCTTGCAGATACAGTTATTATCACATCAAATCATCAATAACAGAGCAGATCTTATGGTTAGCGTAAGAACGGTAGTGGGTTAATTTTCTTGATGTTTCAAGTGAACACTTGAGTGCATTGCGGAGCGAGAAAGCACCGAAACAATGGAATGGGCATATTAATAGTTCTTCTCAAACTCTGACTTCACCACAAATTCTGGAATAACAAAGTCGCATAATCCGTCGATTGTGAAACTCTGTTCCAAAGAAAGTACAAATTCGAAATAAATGACACAGAAAGAAAACGATGCTAAAAGACGATTTGGCGTAATGAAACGGCCGTGCAGAACGGAGTAACGATTTGACGAGTACAGAAATAAAAAATAAGACCAGCGAAGATTGAGATCGGTAATGCCGGCAACGCTTTGCGAAATACGGCTAACAATACCAACGTAAAACACAAACCCTGAAAACCATTCATAATTCGTTCATTCGTCTTTTTAGTGATACCTTCCAACTTGTCAATAGGATCTTTCCAAGTTCTTCATTGAAATCCTACCGTTTTCTCCAATGAGAGAATCGGTCAATTATATTCTATAAAGATGATAAAGAGAACAACTCTTGCCACTTTCCAACTTACTCTCCCCAACTTCGACTCTCCAATTACAGACGAGGAATGAAACGATACAAAACCACTTCTTTCAGAACTAAAACCAACTCACAATAAGTATCGCAACATAGCAAGCAATTGTTGTATTCCAATCGCCATAACTACTCGCTTTTCCAACCAAAACACTGTAGAATATAAAATCACCCAAACCAAGTTTGATACCTCCTGAAACAATGAACTTTTTCATTCAAAAAATATCGTCAGCTGAATAAATGCAACCTGATCAAATACAGACTAACTTTCTTCTACTGGTAACGGATTCTGAAGACGATCGGCATCGGAAGCACCGTCGAGTGGTCGACGTCCTGCAGCTAGCCTCGCACCATCCTGTTGATCGTTGCGAGTTGACGTTGTGTTTACGACAGCTGATGGACGATCATTGCTGCAACTGAATGAAAAGACTCGTGAAAAAATAGAATGACTTTAAACATCGGTGATGAGTATTCAGCTGAATAACAAAACACTATCGCAGATACATTGATANACAAAAATTCTTTGACAAGATTTAACGATTCTCAGCATTCTGAAGTTATTAAATATTCTCACGACTGCATATATCAACTTCATTCATTTGCATTCCAGCCAACTGCGTCACAAATCTGATCTATTTAATAGTTCGCAATAAGAGATGAAGTGATTTGTGGAAAAGCATACCAACCTTGATGGTATGACATATTTTACGTCGGCACCATCACGGTCAGCCACATTGCTTCGATTGGTCGTTTTCGTTTGTGATGGTTCTGAATAACACCATTCACTGTTTGCGATCAATAACATAAACCAAAAATGATCGAATAATGAAATAAATCATACCAGAACTTGTGGCAAATCACAACACATCGGTCGTTTTATCTTGCTCATTTGAAGCAATTTTGAATGAACATGTAAACATGTGAACTGAATGAACCTTTCTTGACGTTGGCATTAGCACGGAGAGGTGCATATCTTCTGACTGGTTTATTCTGAGTGTCGGTAGTATGAGTTTTGGACGAGGGCGATAACAATTCAGAAGTGGATGGTGGTGAACTTTCTGATGAAGTTGTTGAGCCATCAACTGGAGCTACAGTTGTGGATGTTGTTGCTGTGTCACCTTCAAAACACTCTGTTAGGTTCAGCATCATTTTTGATGAATATCGATTGTCAGATAATACAACAAATGAGAACTATTATCATTTTATAACGCTGCCTTACAATGAACTTTGAAAATGACTAATGAAACGAACACCAGTATCAACTATTCAGTTTTAATATTATACATAAAATGAANGAACCAAGAAACTAATATCAAGTCATGAACCTTGTTCATCGTTGTTGTTTACTGATAGACCATTATTGTCTAGGATCTCATCACCATTCGCTCCATTACTAACCATCGTATACGCATACAATACTCCAGCTGTAAGTTCGCACATCTAATTCATGCTTTTAATGAACGATAAACCATTATAGCATACCAAACGAAATTTACAACTCAATGAAGTTAAACAATTTCAACGAAATATACTGCACTGAATTACAGCAATCACGTAATTAGTAGAGAAATGAATTCAAAGAGTAATAAACATGAAAACTCATCAAGCTCAATTCTCAGTAAAAGACAAACTAACAGGAATAGATGAGTGCTGGAAAAATTGGTTCATTCCGTTCTTGCGCGGTTTCAACAAGAATTCGTAATGGCCCTTTGGGACACAAGACGGCCACTAAATCCCATAATGAGATCACAGCTAACACAGTCCATACAGTCCATTCGGGAAGATATTTTATGAAGGTTAGCGCCATTAATGCTGACATCATTATCAAATAACCCTGAATTGGAACAGTTCAATTTATCAGATGCCAAAAAGTTCTACGAAATAATAACAAGATGGTAACAGAGTTTTGCATGACAAAAGTGATCATGTCCTAGAGCAGAGTTTTGCATACGATTTCGGCGACGCTTACAACTTCTTCCTTAACGAGATAACAGAACGATCGGATCGGATTGTGCAGTTCACTTATGAACAAACACAATTCGGTGAATGTAAGAAAATCGGAAACCTGCTGAAGTCTAAGAGGTCCTTTCCAATGGATACAAATCATTCCCATTGCACCATAATTCCAAATCACGAAACTAACCGCTATGTAATCAATTGGAGTGTTATAACTTTTGAATACTTCTCTTAAATTAAAAAAANAACATTTATAGGTTGTCAAATATTCACCCTATTACTCAACTCAATTGCTCAATAGAAGTTTTATTCAACGTTATGTGATACTACTTTGGATATCCGTATTATAAGAATACATCATGTTTCAGACGGGTTATTTGTTCTAAACAAATGGAGTTTCAACTGTAGAATTGCACTGAAATTAATATGTGAAAAGGCTCCCAATAAAAAATTAGAATTTGTAGCAGCTGAACCATCGACAGTAGATTGCAGAATGGGTGCGCAGTGATTAAAGGCTGCTTATATAACATTTCGTGAAACTATTCCAAACAGAAGCAATTTGATGAGAAAATTCTACAAAAACATTAAAAAATTGAGCAAAAAAACTTACTGAAGATACATAAAAGTGAAAAGTGATAACAACATTAAGCTACTCGCAATTAACCATCCATGAATTAACTGCAACTTCGTCATTATGAATAATTTTAATCCAACGAAAACATCACAATCTCACAAGAACTAACTTCATAATACTTCAAAATCAGATATTCAACTTCAAAATGAGAAATAAATTACTGAAAAGTTAAGTTTTCTCGCTCATAGACATCTCATCATTAGTTCAAAAACTTGTAGGAATTCCCGAGCTCTAAAATGCTGATGTGAAAAATTACATTAATCATTCTCTCCACTCGAACCAGAACGTTAAAATTTAGATTTCAAGGAAGGCTAGATACTTTGCAAAGAAGCTAATTTGAAATCACTAACTTTATACCAACGAAATTTGTAAAGGAGTATTAGAAGAACAGTCATAACAACAACAACTGAAAGAACGACAAGTGCATTTCCAAATGACATCATCAACCGTTCGCCTGCATTGTCAGTTTCTTTCGTAAATGGCGTATATATCCTGCAGTGTTCAATTCCAACATTTAAGAATGAATACAACCAACAAATATTGATAAATATATTGAACTCATTTAATATAAAAACAATATCGCTTGAGGAAAAGAAAAATAACTTTTCAAAACAACAGTGAAGTAAGGCAACAAATTCTGCTAACAGAAAACGAAAATAATAATGAGAATATTTACAGGTACTGTCCATCTTTACGACTGTAATAACCGACTGTATTCATTGTAAAAATAACAAATGCCATACAAAGTGATACCGGTACAAAGAGATGAATCACATGTTGTGCACCATATTTCAACTCCATCTCATCCTCATCTGAATCATATTCCGCGCCACCTTAAGCAATCCTTCTGAGCCATTATGAATTTTAAGTCATACACTCCTGAGCCCGACGGGTTTTATTTCAGTCATTTAGTCGAACGACACAAATTAGAGCTTTTAAATATAAGCTTATGTGTGATATTCTTAATAATTCATTGGATCAGAACGGGAGAAATTTATTAACCTATAACAGCTGCTTATACTGTTAAGACTTAATTCGCTAATCAATGAATTATTCAATAAAACTAGAAAGAACAACAGATTTATGATGGACTTAATACTCAAATGTAAAGGTAAGCTATCGAGTATAGATAACAGATCATAAAAAAGATAGAATAATTAAAGGCATTGAAAATGAATTATGTACTACCATTTGGTGGATGTCTCGGACGAACATATTCAGAATGCGGCTGATAACGGCGAGCAGAAGGTGGCTGTGAGTTAAGCGACTCTACAACTCGACTTGACGGTGCATCTGGTTCGGTAGCTGGATTAGGACTTTTTCGCTGAAACTGTATCAATTAGAGCACGATAATACTCAGTTTCAATCATCTGATAATCTCTTCAGATTTTTTTCAAGCTTATTTTTTGACAGCCTGAAGCCAATTTTGTTCAGCTTAATTCTACGCACTATTTGTTTCACTAATTGTAAGCTCACTATTAGTCAAATTTGAATCTTCGAAATAAAAATTGATAATGCTAATTATTGATATGTTACTTGAAGCAATTAATGCTAATTACTTGCTCAAAACAAGTTAAATCGTAAAAAATATTTACAAAAAGAGATTTACAAAAAACAAAAGACGATAGGGAATCATTCACTTCGAAAATTAAGATTAACAATCAGACTGAAGCAGGAGAAGGGTGAAAGCTGAAATAAACGCATGACTGAATGTTATGAAGAGTGAACCTTTGAACGAGGTGCCTTTTGTTTAGGTTGTGGATTAGTGGTTGGCTGCGAACATGACGGTCCCTCTTGCGCTGCAGTCCTAGCGACTTCTGGTACATTTGATGTTTCTGAGGACATTGCAGTGCCAACACTCAAATAATGCCTCAAGTGAGAGATGATCGATAATACTCGAGTTCGTTTAGAACGCACTGCGCATTCAAACATCCAAACTATGGTCAATTTTTGATGTTTGAATGCCTGACGAGTTTCTGGGCCAGAAACTGTTTAATGCTCAAAAGTCATTCTATAATGTATCGCGGTGCATTTAAGAAAGTAAAAGGAATGTAAAATGCACGTATTTGCATCAATTCAATCATCTGAACAAGTCTATCTCAGAGTAATCTTCACAGTAACTTTAAACAGAACAATAACTGTGACCAGCACACACTCAAAACATCCCCGGTCTTGTTGGTGATTCGCAAAATGAAAACAGAATCGCGGAAACGAAAGCAACGAAATAAATCAATCTCTGACTGAAAGTGTTGCGAACACGCTGCACCTTCGCACTTTGCACACTCCAGTGGAACGATGTGCAAAGGTTGGTTGGCGACATTACCTTTACTGCCAGACCTTTCGAAAGGTTCCCGTCACTCATGGGAAAACCCATGCATGATGTCATTGACGGTTGCCTGCATGGTAGATCCTAAGGATTCATGTCTCAGCTTGACCTCACATATAAGCCTGACCCCATGTCGAAGTCTGAACTCAATAACCGTTCTACATTCTGGTAGATTGCAGAATGCACCATGTTAAACGAATGCCCCAGTAACTGAATCATCATTCCATTGCGTATGCGTAACCGTCCAAATCAATCGAGCCGCTCAAATGTACAATAGAACGGTTGCTGTTGTGAATCCGTTGAAAAATAACGTCATAATTGTGGTTTGCTTATTAAGTGCTGTTTGATGTATCGCACACGATAACCACAAAATCCATTTAACGCAATCACTCAACTCTGTTTAAATGCTACAAACGTTCACCTACGCAATGCAGCGTCTCGGTGAGCGATTNTTTCCTCAAATAGTAAGGTGTCATTTAATCAGTCACCACTTGCCCTTACAATCGATACAATAAAATCAATATTATTTTTATGATGTCAACGAAATGTTCATATTCGAATAATTATCAACGATTGTGTTGTTCATCTGTTCAATTAAATCATTTGATTCATGCACGTATCGATCAACACCATCATTATAATGACAGATACCGAATACTTTAAAACTAGCAAATTTTCACTCAAAATCACTATTCAATCAGGATGTTATGGAGTACAGAATTGTTTCAGAATATCATTCTCTCAATGAATCGCAAATAATACGCGTTGGAAACTTCTCTTTGAAATTACACTGAAGTATGCTTTGAAAAGTAGCATCATGCATCAAAGTGATTGTATTCGGATCAGTGAAACAAAACAAGCGGATCAATTACACTTCTCTATTGATCAGCACTCAACTACGCTTATGACAGATAAGGAATCATCAATTTTCATTGTACAATATTCGTTACTGCCACAAATTGTTCAAAAATCATTCCAGTGATGCGATATGGAGAAGCAAAAAGTGAAATAGGTGTGCCGAACAGTGTTTATCGCTCTAATGAGTCAGTTCAATCTGTTTGCCCAACCAATTCCACATTTTTCGTTAGATTTTTTTCAGTCAAGCCCAAAAGAATACCTCAATATCTAAACCAGCTTCCGTTTAATGTAGATGTGCTACTTCTTCCTCACAGTGGAAATCGACCCACGTAAACGTTAATCAGTTTCCCTATGATGGAATTAGCGAAATACGAGATTTATAAGGAAATGCATGGCCTTACTATCAAATTGTCCATTCGCAATCTAATGAAAGTGTATTGCTCATACTTATCATTTACAAAAACTGCTTTTTATTGCAGTTAATCGAGCACAGCTTATGTAAAGCCATCTTAAAAATTCGAATAATTCTACGATCTTGTTTGGCTTGCAACAATCGAAGAACGAATCTTGTATCAATAAATGTTTCCGGTAAGCTGAAATAATTATGCTATTAACAGTGAGATACATGCTGAAGCAGAATCATTCTCAAGTACAATATTCAGTTAACTCTGCTTTCCAATTATTTTTTAAAATCATGAACAAGTTGATCCAATATGTATACGATCGACGAACTAACCAGTTGAACTGTTGGTTATACTAGACTTTATTCCACATTCATCAAACCATTCGCAATATCCATCTTTTCCTCGTATATTACTACCTCTGACCTATCCTCAATTGTTAGACTGATATTGCTTCAAAAAAAGACTTGCAGCGACTCACTGCAAATACCGTGCCATTGACTACTTTCCAACTCCTTTTCACTTTGAAAATTCTTGACCAGTTCTCCTCTATCCTCTCCAAGTGGATTCATGGATATTCGTCAAGACGTCGTTAATTTTTCCTGACTGAATTCCGTTGAACATGATGTATCACGAACACCACATCTTTGTACTCATCATATTTCATTACCGCTTCCATCTCATTCTATCCGTTATCGTTCTCTCTGTTCCAATCTTTTTCGTCTGCTGCCAACGCAAAGTGACTAATCAACGATAAGATTGCACAATATTTTGTAAACTTTGTAAACGTTGCAGCGAATCGCTCGCAATGCTTTCATTATATAAATTCAAGCATGAATTCATATTTCCATTCTCATTCCGTACTTCACTTCCTCATTTACTTAATTCCTTAGTATAACTACCACCAGATGATTTATTCATGTTGGTTCTATTGCATTTTGTTCTTAAAAGTTTCGACTTGATTTCATATTTCTTTGGTTAGCAATGATATTGTGTAGCATGCGTTATCACACTAGCGATTTTCGATTCGACCATTCACAATAGGGAAACTTGTGAGAATATCATTCTTTCATATTCGTCAGTGTCATATTCAATCATACCATTCATATTCATATACAAAGTATTCGTATTCGTTAGTGTGATGCAACATCAGATGTATTGAATCGTTCCTTCTGGGTCTATGGACCAGTCCATTTCTGAGCGAATGAACGACACTTGGAACTAATTTAAATCGGAGCTCAGACCGGGTCCCCCACAGAACCCGTCGAGATATCTCATGCGATTGGAATCCCATTCAGATGCGTAGCGAACTTCTGCGTGACGTTTCATGGTTGAACCTGACCGTAGAGAAGCTCGAGTATTCGTATTTGAGATTCGAATTTGCCTTTGAAGCACATGTTAAGAATCACAACTATAATCGCACATTCGAAACAATGATTAGTCAATGAATATGAGAAATACGACTTTCTTCAGTGAACTCCCAGAGTATATTCCCGATTGTTAAGTTATGGGATGTAGTTATAACTAATGATGTCACACTGATTCGAATTCGGATATTCAGAGTTTTATTTGTTCCTATATATTCAGTTGATTTAGATCTTTTTATTATCCTTTCCACTGAGACTATTAAACTTAAAAAGTATTTTTTGTTTNTGAAATTTATATTGAGTTCATACTGCAGTTCAAAAAAGTGTTTCAGTCGCACGAATATGAATCATTTCTCACACATTGGTATTGTAATAAAAGTTTTTCGAACTGTGTTGTGTAGAGTTGGTTTGATGCATTTTTTGTCAGTTATATGGGTATACGTTAAATGTTTACTTCAGCTCGCTTTATTGATCACTATGCCGGAATATTTGGATAGTGAAATTCCTATGGTACGTCGCCGTGCGTCTAAGGACCCCAAAGTTTATCGCTACAATTACCAGTAAGATGATTTGAAGATTTACGAAATGATCATTGAACCGTAACTTTTGCATGTTCAATTTTGTGCATGAATAGATTGCTACGTTTCCAATTATAATTCCAATTTTTTAAATTCAGTATCTGCAGCCCTACAGTTATCTCGAAATATATTTGCAAGCAAGGAAGTCATTATGCTGTGCAAAATTTCATTGGACAAGATGGAATAGCGAAATCGTTCGGAATGGTAAGTTTAGCCGTGAATTTTTTATAACTGTTAGTGAAAATCTTCAGAAGATTCTTCTAAATGACGTTTATTGGATATTGCGATTTTTATTGAGTTTATATAGGCGAACAAGTTTACTTCATCGGCGAAGAGATCGAAATTTTAGATGGATGTGCCGTCAGCGCTCAAAGCAGATGATCCATTTGATATGGAAGCATACGGAGTACCGTATTCGATGAACAGTCGAAAGAGGTGGAAGATTATGGATGAACTCAAAAGAGATATTTCATCTTTCCAGGTATTTGAATCAGTTCAGTTCTGAGCACATCGAACGATTATCATCTTACTCTTCACGTCACATATCTTTGTACCAATATGGATGTCACTCAAACTTCTTGAATACAGTTTTTTTGCTTTTTAATCCAATTTCATCATCGAACTTTTTCGTGCGCAAAACAAAATTTCTAATGCATATGCACTGCTTGCTTGAATCAATCTCTTCAGGATCCATCAACTGGCTTGCGTGTTACAGCAGTAAGCCTTCCAGCTACAGGTTGTATTGAAACTCACGTTGATAGGGGCTCGAGAGGATGGCTCTCTGAATATCACACTGTCGATGAACAGCATCGAGTGATCGACAGAAAAACAAAACGAACCACGTTCCAGTCTATTATCAAGTGAGTTCATCAAGGAGACTATTGTTTGTCATTTCCAAATACTGCTTGTTTCATTTTATAAAGACCCCTTTATTCACCATTTCTTACTAACAATAAGTTGAATAATTAAGTGGGGTTGGGACCATTTGACAATAAGATGTTTTTCATAATAATATAAGAATTGAATTCACCCACCGTCGAACAGTGCCTTCAGTATTTTGAAATTAGCGTAAAAGCTAGCTTAACTTTGAATTTGAACCCATTCGTTATCAGACAGAATTCATCGATGTGATAAGTAGTTCAGGCCCGAGAATCCTCCACGTCGACGAAAAGGTCGCTTAATTCGTCCATTAGTTCAAACTGCAGTTGAAACGCCAATTCCAAGAGAAGAGCAAGATAGAGTGAACATTTGGGAAAGACCAGCTCACATCGTTTATCAAGAGCAATACTTTTACGAACCAACGCGAAAGAGAAATACTAGAGGCAAAAGGTTGTTTTGAATGTTACTCCTCATAACCGCTATCAAAAACGTCGCATTTCGTCAATTCACGAATAAGACAAATGAAGAATTAAACGAAATTAGTCCCTTGTGAATGCTATCAATAAATTACTCCTAAATCTCTTGAAATGTCGTTGATCCATTCTAATGTGTAAATTCTTCACGATTTATGTCTTCACGATTTTTTCCGGAAATATTCAGTGAACTTTGCGAGAACTATCGATAAGGGTAGGCGGTTGATAACTTCCAATAAATAATTGCTTAAAAGTTCTCCTCAATTTTCACAACTCATTTTTACTGATTTGTCGACAATCAAGAACTTATCAGAGTCGAATCATTTCATCAGTTTAAGTGAAGCTTATTGGACGAAGATAGATCCTCAGCAATGGCGCTCTATGCGTTTCCGCACCGGTTACAAATGTCGATTCGATCCTCAGATAACACAATTGTCTGATTTTACACCTTCACATCCGGGCTGCATGGACGCAGAACAGTTTGAGGAAGATGTTCACTTTATGGATGATTACGCTAGTGAGATCGATGAGTGGCCAGGGAAAAACGCTTTGGTTACATTGGGAGAATTTGTTTGTGAACGGAGAAAACGAACAAAGCAAAAGAAATTTGTCAGTATTATTTTTACTCCATTCTTCAGCCCTTTTCGCTGCGAAATTCAATAAGTCAAATAAATCTAATGCGATGCATGAAACGTACCATCTTTCATTTTCCCCTCCAACAATCACATAATTACTTACTTCGTCGAAAAAAAGGTGAATGCTTCCAATTAGATTGAAAAATTTGAAAATTGCAATTAAAAACAAATTTGAAAATTTGCAATTAAAACACATCATTTTCTGTTCTTCAGAGGAAACGTACTCGAGAAATTGACAAGGATAAATGTTACTCTATTCCAAAAGACGGTCACTTGCAAGTAGAAGAAGAGTTTTCCGATTCTGGATTTGAAACAACAGAAATGACTGTTGGAGATGATCTGGAACCTCTCGATTCATTCGTAACAGAACTGAAGAAGAACAAAACTTTCGATGACTTGATCAGAGCGATAAACAGCCATCGCGTCGAACGTATTCAACCAACGTCCTATCTGATCGATTCCATCCACCATCAGCCATATCGATTACTGAATAAATTTCTGAAAAAGTCAGTTCCGATCGACTTCCACGGTTTCATTGTTCTACGTCCTTATTGCTTCTTTGAGTACAATTCAACTCGTCGCGAATATCTCAGGTAATTTCTGCTCCTTTTTGCAAAATTTTTGTTCTCCAGTTGACTCATTCATAGAATATAGTTACTTTCCGATTACATGCTTANAGTTTCCGTATCATTCTCAACACAGCAATTTTAAGCTAAATTTACCGTCCATCACTCGTCAGAAACGAACCCATTGATTTTGTCTGTGGAACGAACAATTGCTCTGTGAATGACTTCACGGCAATCATATTGACTGAACGTCCGCACTGGCTTAATTCGTTTGAGCCAACAGAAAAAAATGAGATATTTTAATGAGCAGGAATCAAAAATTGAAACATATTGCGTTACTTTGCTCTTTCTTTTTCACTTTCAATCGTTCGTTTCACCTATCGGACATACCACACAATGCATTTCAACAAACTCATACAAAAATTCCGTACGAACGAATTCTTCAGATGCATTCTGAACGATGGAGAAATGGAAAATTGTTTGGTGTTGCCGCACAAGACATTCAACCAAACCACTAAAGGAGAAAAATCTTTGATAGATTTTCTACCTTCCGAATCCGTCGTTCGTTGCCAATCATACGCAGAGCTAGATGCACAGCAATTTGCTTATGACGAATTAGTTGCCCAAATGGTTGGTTTCATGTACAGTGCTTCAATGAATCGCAATCGAATACTCGCTGTTTGAAGCATTGCGGGATTAAAACAACGGAATATTATGTACTAGTGTGGTACAAGGGAGTGTCAATGAGGATTTCCCTTCTAAAGTCGTTTCCCAGTGTTATGTTTCTATGAATGCCAAATAAAGGATAAGTAGAAGTTGCGGCAATACAGAATAAATAGAAGTTTTTCAATAACTCCTACAGGANACTTAAGTGTTATACATTGTAAATGAAGAGATTAGGCTACAACAGTGATTTCTTATGAATGCGGACGATGTTACACTTCGTTTTTGATTCACTCCCATAAAATGAGCAGTTGAATAGAGGTGAAAATTTCTGCTGCACATTAATTTTTGGACATATATTGACGATCCATTTCTTGCGTTATACGAGTAAATTGCCTATTGCTTGTTAAAAAAGATTAATGGAAGCACATGTACGTGCAGGTGGAATAACAATTGGAATGTATGTCTGTAGATGCGATAATTTGATGAATAAATTTGACTTTCATCTGGATTGAAATTCAAAAAATTTCAGCCTTCCAGTTCGCGTAGTCCTTTAGTTGATGAGGATGATACCGATGGATATTGTGGTATCTGTTGGGAGGTATCTATGTGCCTTTCATTAAGTTGTGGTCATGAATTTTGTGAACATTGTTGGACTCTTCACTCAGTGACATCAATTGATCGTAATCATATTCCTATCAAGTGCCCAGTATGTTTCAATTCATTTCCATTTCAATCTCACTTTTCAGTTTCATATTTTCAATACTTCCATCAGACTGAGAATCAATTCACACTAATCGTTCGTAATCGAACTTTAAGTACGCAAAGATTTCTTGTTTTTCGTTTTTTTACTACATTTCCCAAGCCTTCGATAATTTATCGCTGTATTTGCTAGTCATTTAGGTGAGTTGTGTGATGCGAATGCAGCGATATTACTCAAACGTCGAGTGAAACGTTTCAAACTTTTCAGGCAAATGATTGTGATAATATTCTTGAAATAGAACAAGCGATAACATTTTTACCATTATCATTATGCTACCGATATCGAAAGTTATTGCTGAAAAAACTGATGATGAAACCTGATTGGTTGTACTGTTCAAATTGTGAACGATCGATTCATCTGAATAAAATCACACATTCGAACAGAAGTATTCAATTCGTTCGCTGCGATTGTGGTGCTGCGATCTGCATAAAGTGCCGGTCAACAGCACACATCCCAATCAACTGCGGGACTGCGATGGAATATCGCAGTATTCTCGATAAAAATTGTACGTCCCTGATTACTATCGATAAGTGCATCAGAATGTTTCGCGAAAAAGAGTGATGAACGAAAATTGGATTATATTTGGCATTGCACTCATAACTTTAATGCGGCATACTCAGATGTCAACTGAAACGAGTCACTCAATTTCAGCTGTAACGAAGCAAGGAGTGGCGAGTGTTCACGTGAAACAATGTCCTGTGTGTGGTAGTTTCTGTGTAAGATCGATTGGATGTAACCAAGTGCGTTGCAGATGCGATACAGACTTTTGTTATAACTGTTGTGAGATATGGATGCCAAGTCATTCTAATTGCTCTGCGAAGAGCTTTACGAAAGTCAGTTCATTCGATATTTACGTTCCGTTTGGCACCATTTTTTGAGAAAATTTTCCATCAGTCTTTTTCCCCTTTCATTCACTTCATGTTTATCACCTTCATCAGTCCCTAACTCCGGCTCACCAGCTTTGAATAATAGCCAGATCACCTGAATTAGCCAACCCATTTAACGTTTAATTGTGAAGTTGCTGGCCATAATAAGTCTTCTCGTTATCATGTTATCCAAAGTCTTTTGTCGACCTTCCTCGTCTGTCTTCTTGGAGAATCTTGAGACTGTGTGCAGTAAGTAATCATTGCTAGGTCAGTTCACCCAACGACATTTCGCTTAGTGGACAAAGACATTTGCCCTAATGAAAATGAAGGATATGGAAGGTTTGGGATTGAATGATAGGACTCTGACGGCACCCAAGATTGCTATCCACTCACATTAACGGGCTTTCCGAGTCGTTGAACTCTGAACTCTCCGTGGAACAAGGAGTAATTGCGATGCAGTCTGTATCAAAATTCTGGGGCGTGGCACTACCATATGTAAATCAACGCATAAGATACGCTTATTCGGAACCCTCTTTTATTATGCAAACCTCTCTCAGTCCGCAATATTTCTGAAAGAAAACTTCTCTTCACGATTACCAGAGGTTCGGCCGTGGCTAGAAATGAATCTCAGACTAATTCCAAGAATCAACGTAAGCCTAGGCCTAAGCATCAAACTCAACCTAGTCCTGAGCGTCTATCTCAGCTTAGACCTAAGCATCAGCCTCACAAGGAACAGTCACAAACTTTCAGAACGAGTTATATATAATCCAAAGTCAAGAAAATCGTATACGTAATCCATGCCTAACAAGACGAAGAAAATAAACAAAGTTCAATGCACAGATATTCAATAACTATATTACGAAATGAACAACCTCGAGATATTCCGAAGTAAGGTCAAGAGACTCGAACAACTCGTGAATGCTTGCAGCTAATACTCTCTGATGCGCATTAGGCGAAATGTTGCTAAACGAAATGACTGAACACGTATTAGAACAGCTTAGTGTTGTGCGGGCAGAGAAAAAAGTCAGGGACAGGGAGAGTCGGGCACATTTCGAGCACAGAAACAGTCTCCGAAAACAGCCGCCGCTCGAAAATGCTCGGGGACGGGAACACTGATTTCGAGCACTCCCCGCACAACACCAGAACAACTTATGATAAAATGCTGTATGATCAGAATAGCTAAGAAAGTCCGTCCAAGATTCACAAAACAGTTTGTAGTGTCACCATCTTTTGATGGCTAATGCGGTCAGAAATTAAACTCTCTGATGTTATTTTCAGAAGGTTTATCTTTTTGACGTGGGAAGAGGCCTGGAAAATTTTTCGAGAACCTTGTTCAGACGGTGTTTACAGCATCGAATCGATGGCTCGAAAGATAGTTTGAGTCTCATCGAATCTGGTTTAAGGAAGTTGAATGTTTCGTTCGATAACCATCGCCGCATAATGAGCATATTCAGAGTGGTGAGTCTATTGATTGTTGCCTTAAATATGTTCTAACAATGATTTGTCACAACTGACTGTGAAAAAACACTGTTGAAACAATTTATTGATATTTAATAATCGAAAATGTATTGCAAATTCAGATTGCTAATTAATTTCAAATGAAACTATTTTAATGAATCGAATCCGTTTAAGTGTTGGATGTTCTAGCTTAAAAGTTTTCAATTTATTTACAGTTAGAAACAGGACGCCTTTTTATTAATTTAAAGCCGATGATATTTAGTGATGAGGAAATTTTGAAAAGAGGTTTTCTGAGCAACACGAGAAGAGGTGAAAATTTTGAGGTCGTTCAGAAGGCTCTAAATTCATTACTTATAGACTTCTGAGGTTCTCGAGATGTTTGAAATCTACGTATTCTATCTGAGAAAACTGAGGAGGAAAAGTGTCGGTCAGCGGAAGAGTGCGTTACATTGGCATATTTGCTCATTGAAGATGTCACTAAGCATACTCGTGTTCTTGCTCAATACAACAAAGTCGATGTGTACTGACGACAGAACCGAATGCGCAAGATTAAATAATTTTGTCGAAAAAATCGAAGATTTTTTACGATCGTTACTGTTGAAAGTTATATGAACTTATCTTCGATGGCATCGTTTGGTGAGTTCACATGGATGCTCAGCANNNNACAAACAATAAAGTTTTCTCCATGCAAGAAATTTCATTGATTTTGATAAGTTTGAATTCAATGAGTGCAAGCCCTGCACTGTCTACTTTCATTAAGTGCGCAAACAATCTAAAGCGAAACACAGCAACTTCTCCTCCCGTTCACTATCGCAGAGTTTTTCGAAGCGTGCCACGTTGTTGCTCATAGCAATCCGCGTGTCTGTCTGTGCACTCGAGCGATTTCTAGATTGCATCTTCATCGAAGGAGTGCACGAAACACCAACTTGCATAAGTACATCATCGCGAATGGGATGAGCACATTTAGTGCTTTTTGATAAATTCTTAAAAACATGCCCATTGCCTAGCACCCCAGCAATACTTTTGCAATACTGTGTCACACCTGTGGTTAGGAAACCCTGCACTGTTTGAATGACGCATTAAGAACGTAATGCTCACTGTTAACAATATCACGATAATAGAGAACGAAGTGGGATTATTACATGATATTTATGAATTACATCTCATTGTCAAGAAGTTCAAATAACTCCTTGATAAAAGGTATTCTTTTCTTAATTTTGAAGTTTAATTTCTACTTTCATTGAGTGCGCATATAAAAATGATAATAAAACGATGAATCACTCAGTAAGACGGTGCTGTGCAAATTACGTTAAACCTCAAATGAAATAGAGTATGTTATAAAATAAAAACAAGCTAAAGCGAAACATAGGAACAAACTGAATTAACTTGAATTGGAACCAGAATATAATTCAAAAAAAACAAGGTCAAAAATCGAAAACAATTTGCAAAACATGCATTCAAAACCACCATAAACCATTGTTATGACCAGTGTCACAGCCAACAGAGACAATTTAAGGATTAGATATCAATGATCTTTCATTAAATCCTTTACTTGCAGATGGAACATTACGTAATGTTCGTGAAAATTCCACTGCTATACGGAAGCTGGTGACATCATTAGGGAATGAACTAAACCGGGGTTTCTCAACCGAGGGTACTCATATCCCCAAGATGTACGAGATGGTATTTCAGCGTAGTGTGGTGCGGGGAATTTCGGGGTTCCCGTCCTCTAATTTCCATTCCGACTTTTTTTCAGTCGCGGACATTTTCGGTGAATTCGCCATCCCCGAAAATCCCCGATTTTCCCGGTCCCCGACTTTTTTCCCGTCTCTGCACCACACTA